GTTCGGATGTTGCTTCATTGTTTCAGATTCCAATAGTATTAAAAATGTACTTGAACTGGGGTCTATGTGATCTTACCTTATATTTATTTATTGTTTTTGTTTTTTTATTGAACTGAATACTTTAAAAATTTTATGTTATCGTTTTTTATTTATTTTAATTAACCATATTTTGACATCCAACGACAAGGTTTCGGTGAGCGCGATCACACTATAACTAACTTTCAATCAGTCGATAAAGAATTATGTTTAAAGAAGTTGTAATTAAAAATGGGAGAACAACATTACATTTTAGATATTCAATCCCAACTAAAACGTGAATTTAAAACCCCGATAGAAAAAAAAAGTTCCCCAAAGAATAACCATTTTTGCATTTCTTGTAGCACTGGTTTACCTGATACACTTTTTATTTAAAGCTACGATAAAATGTACTGAGATACAAAATATACATGAAAATAGTGTAGCGCCACCGCGCTCATATAAAATTATATAGTTAAATCTTCAAAAAGGGGTTAATTTTGAAGAAAAATGTTAAAGTTGAAAACTTTGGACGTTTATATAACGAACAAGTATTTCAGTAGGATGAAAATTATTAATGAAATATCTTAAACTAGTTAACATAGGTACTGTTGGTACATGACAAGTATTGTTCATTAACCTTGGAGTATTTTTGTGTAGTATTTTGTGCACTGAGTAAATTTTTTTCTGAAATAGTAACAATACCAATCAATGTTTACGTATGGAAATATCGATATCGATCATACCTAGAAAAAGCATGGAGTAACGATATTAGTGTTACACGTGTCTTTGTCAGAATGAAATAAATATACTAATTTCGTAATGAGAACAAAGGATGGATTTCAAGTAGACATCAATGCGTGCTGCATTTTTATAAAGTTAGTTACCTTTAATGGTCCTCTATAACTTGAACTCCCCGAGATAAAAATACATATACAATTTATATTACTGGTGAAAAGTTATACCATCTTTCTTGCAATTAGATATTCTGGAATTTTTTCACTTGCCATGATTAACTTAATAACTGTATATATTCACAGATCGAACACTTGGTTGTAATCAAGGATTCGCATACGCATATTACTACTTTTGTTAAAACGATCTATGCTGAATCATAAATGTTTGGCTACAGCTTACTGTCTGTCTTTCATGCGGTATCTATTGGAGGTTATCTGTGAGATATATTCGTACTATATGAACAATAAAATACGACACATTATAAGAGCATTCAGTTTTTTTTTAGAATAGTAACTAACTTACTTTCCACAGTGGCTTCGCCTGTATCCTATATGGCATTAAAATCCATTGTGTTATTTAATAAAAATTTAAACTCACTGTATAAGCATATGGAAGCAACTTTATTTTATACTATAGTAGCTGTAATCCGCGGCTTCGCTCACGTGATCCGAGGGTACACTGGCCTGTTATATTGGAGTATTGAGCAAATCTTAACTAAAAATCTACCAGTGAGCATCCATCATTATATCATCATTATTAGCTTTTCAGTGTCCTCATTGCAGGGGGCATAGTCCTGTCCGATAGCTTAAACAAAATAAACAAATTCTAACGATGTTTCTGTGGATACCGCGCAATGCACATGTTTTCATAGAATAATCCAGATGCTCTTCTTTCCAGTTTAGTGCGCAGTAGAATTGACACGCCTTACAAAAAATACAAACAAATGTTTTCTTTGAAGAATTAGCCCGTTTATTGAAGTTGTTTAATAATTGCGCCGTCATTTTGCTTGGAGATATTTGACTACTGTGCTTATTCTGGACTAAGATAAGGGCTTAAACTGCCCGATGCTTTGGTTATGCAAGATTCTATGAGTAGTCCTCAAAGCAACTTGATGGCTTTCTCAATTCAGCATTTTCAATGATATTAGTGCGTGGTGCCAAATTAAATTTTGCCAACGAGTTTTCTGCCATTTCTTCAATTTGTAGGTATCGAACGAATGAACGAACAAGTATCAGTATCTTTTCACCATATCTATTATTTAACTCTGATACTGTGAATTTTAGTTAAAACTATTTCCTACCATTAGTAGCTCATTTCAAGTATTTTTGATTTTTAGTCATTCACAATTATCGGCAGTTTAGTATATTTTTCGCAAACATACTCGTAATATAAGTTCCCTCGGTTAAGTGTTATTTTATACACATATATTATTTTGTCGTTAGATGAAACTATACTATGTATAATCTATTAAAAATCTAGTTTTCGAACCAGCCGCCCATCATAAGTATGGAAAACGATCTCCGCGAATCAGGCTTAGAGTCTAGTACGGATGCCATTACAAGTGTGATTAGGGCTCTATTTTATATTTCCTGTTCCTCTGTATTAGATGTTGAATTCACAAATTTTGAAGAGTTCGATGGCGCAGTCGTTAGTGCTGTAGAGTCTGCGATACGGTTGTTAAACAACGGCCGGTTATAGGATGGGTGACCAAAAATTTACTATCCGTGCTCCTTTGTATTTCGTAAGGCACATTTAGCCGTTGTTTCTGGCTGCATATGCAGTCGTTAATACACACACAGCGTTGGGCCAGCGTGGCGGGTTTTTCTCATCCTCCCTATTCATTTTATTCAATTACATCCGTTGGGAAGGCCTGAGCTCCAGCAGTGGGGGCTATCCATTAGTAGGCTGCTGATGATTAGGCAGACAAATCTTAAAAGGTAAAAACCCTTTAATGTGTAAGTGTAGTGATAATATATTTGTATAGCTTTGTAGTGTAGTGATAATAAATGTCTTGTATCAGGAAATGAAGTAAACTCTGTGGGTCGTTTATTATCATGTTATGGAAGTCGGAAGCTACTATCTACACAGTCTGACCCGCGAGGGATGGACCCTTTCCTAAACTCTTATCGAAGATGTTATATCGTCAGCTTTTTATTTTATGTAGAAGTCGAGTAAAGTAACAAGATCAGAGAAAATAAATAGTAACTATATCCAAATAAGAAAAAGAAAGCGGGGAGAAATTATATACGTACATTTAACAGATTTCAAAATCGAAAAGGAAGAGGTTATATGTTCGACGGTGATGTATGATTTTTTTGTATGTTCACCGATATTTCCGCCAATTGTCGACCGATTTTCAATGTTTTTTTTTTATTTGACAGCTCGATGTTCCGAAGTGGTTCCATTTAAATTTTATCGAAATCTAATTAATAGTTTTCCTTTTATAAAAAAACAATGTCACTTAATTGATACCCTACAGAAAAATCGAATTTTCTTGAATTAGTCACTTTTGAGATATGTATTTTATCACTTTGTAAAGTTTAAAGTCGGTTCTATTTTTTTAAAGTTTTTCTTCATGTTTTTTAGTGATATTTATATTTTTTATATAATAGGTAACACTAAAAATATTAAATATCGGTTACGTTTATTTTTTTATTTACGCGACATAATGTTTTCCAATAATCTATACTCATAAAGAGAAAGGTTTCGATTGCTTGTTTGTTTGCATTGGATAGGCCCCGAATGGATCGATTTATAAAAGTCTTTCATCTACGGGAAACTTAATAATAAGTACTTCATAATACGCGGGGGCCATAGGTTATAATATACGGAAACGAAATCGCGGGTAAACAGACAGTTTGAAAGAAATTGGTTCACAATACAACTTTCATAAAAAATTTACATACTCTTTGAACATAGAGATTACCCCTTTCGGATCTTGATGAATTTAAAATACGCAGTCTTCTGTTTTTAAGCTGAAATAAACAAATCATATAAATATTTAGGTGATATCTGGTAGCTCGGTGGCGTAGTGGAATAAGCACCGCGGCCCGCGATCGTTGTCGTTAAGCAATTTTCGCAAGGGTCGAATCACGGGATGGGTGACCAAAAAATTATTATCTCCGTGCTTCGGAAGGCACGTTAAGCCATTGGTTCCAGCTGCATTTACAGTCGTTAATACCCTCCAATCCGCATTGGGCTAGCGTCGAGAGTCATGGCCCATCCTCCTTAACCATAAGGATGGCCTGAGCCCTTGCAGTGGGGACGCAAAACGGCTGATGATGATGATGATCTGGTGAAAAGAGTATTTTGTTTTGTTAGAAAAGAAAAACTACTGATTTGATTTCGTTAAAATTTTAATGGGACCACCTCGGCCCATTAAGCTGTTGAATAAAATAAGAATCTTGAAAATCGGTCAACAATTAGCGGAGCTTTTGGTGAACATACACAAAAAAGAACATACCATATAACTTCCTACTTTTCGATTTTTAAGTCGGTTACAAAGATATGAAAAAGCGTAATTTTCATTGTTTTACTTACTAATAATGTATAAAAGTCTTTGTATTTAGAAAGATCAATAGAGGAGTTTGATGTTACAGTAGTTTGCGCGTTCGGTCTGTTAAGCAACATTCACAAAGGTTGGTCATAGGATGGGCGACCAAAAATTTGTTATCTGAAGTTTCTCCCTGCTTCGAAAGGCCTCGGTTGCATATACTGTTACTAACATCCACCAATAAGCATTGGTGGTATAAACCGATCTCTTAATTTGTTCCGATTCCATCCATAGAGAATTATCACTATTTTAAGTAGTGAGTGATATTAAGATTGGTCACTATACTGATGGACAGTATTTAAAGTATATAAAATTATTTGTCAAGCGTGACTTTGCCATATATTTTGTATTACTTAAATCATGTTAAGCAAGTTTCGCAAAGGCCAAATATAATAGGATGGATGACCAAAATTTTATTAAATTGAGCTCTTTCGTGTTACTGATGAAAGGCACGTTAAGCCGTTAGTCCAGGGCGCATCTACAGTTGTTAACAGTTACCAATCCGTGCAGGGAGGCAATTCTACTAATTAAATTTTGTTAAAACCGCATCGAAAACGGATCGAAACCGTGGTCCATTCTCCCTTTTAGATTCCATTCAGCAATGGGGAGATTAATAGGCTAGTGATGGTGATGATGAAATCTTACTTTACGTTGCAGAATGTACACCCAATGATTGAATCTATTCTTTCCACAGGTGATATCGGCTATGTCCGTCTTCTTCATCTGCGTATCGGTCCTTTCCTTCTGTCTGAAGACACATCCCGACTTGCGGGTGCCAAGGCCGACGCTGGAGCCACCTGTGAACGGCTCTTGGAACTACACCTTCGTTGAAACTTCCCTGTGGCACGACGATGACGGCCAGCCACATGTGGCCTTCTTCTACATAGAACTAGTTTGCAATGTATGGTTCACCATCGAATTGTTGGTGCGATCTGTGGTGAGTACCTTTATTTCTGTTCTTAGAAAATCTGGAATAATTTTAACGACGATGTTGGTTCACATCACTATTTTTAGATCACATTAACGGAATCAATATTGGCATTTCAAGTTTCTGCTTCGTTATATCAAATATTGACAAAGAAATAAATACTAAGTTTTATGATTATGATAACTTTAACTTGAGAATCAAATATTCATCAAATAAACTCGCATTTAGAGTCATGTATATATCCTTTTTTTATTTCATACCAATTATTATAATTGTTTGCTTTTGCCGTCACAAAAGAGTAAGTCACACTTGCCGAACGGATGCGCAATATTTCATGAACGTGTCCCTTTATGAGCTTCATAGTAATATTTGAAGAAAAAAAAAATTACTTTATGGCATGCGATTTATTTTTGAAATCACGTCGCTTTTATAATCTGATGGAAAAAATAGTTTGGTCCTATCTAACGTACTAACGTTACCAGGTATTTCCCAAAATGTCATTACCCCAGCTAAATATTGATTCGCCAACTAAAATAAATATTGCACTTCATCACACACAATGAGAAACAATACAGGTAATATAAGTTTCTAATTCAATACAATACGATGCTTCGTAAGGTTGATGTTTTACCCAAAAAGATTGCTATCTAGCTTTTAAAAAAAGTTGAAGTAATTTAAAAGAGCTTACTTAACAGATAAATTTACGGACGCGAAAAGCTACTTTTACTACAAACTAGTGATACCCAAATACCGGTCGCATATATGAACACTTATACACGTCTCTAAAACTATATGTCTATCTACGAAAGATGTGACAAGTGCACTGCAGTACAATAGGTATGAAAACATACGAGATAGATAGATAGATAGATAGATAACTCTTTATTGTTGACATAACACTATTTACAGAAACAAACAAATTAAACTTAATTAAAATGCAAACAATTGGCGGCCTTATCGCTTAAAGCGATTTCTTCCAGGCAACCTTTGGATGGAGAAAGAGATAGTCTTTATAACGGAGACGGGGGTGTACATTTGAACAACAATATATCTACAATTAAATGCAACAATGAATATAAAAACAAAAATTACATACCTACAATAAATATTTATATAAATATGATATTATATAATAATAATCGCATACATCTATATGATCTACATATATAAATACATATATACACATATTAACAAATCTGGAATAAGTAACAGTGCAGCAGCATCATAGTAATTATTGTGAAAGGTAGAATTCTTTGACGTAAACTTTAAATGTTGGTAGGGATTGAGCTCTCCTGATCGAAACTGGGAGAGAATTCCAGAGACGAGCAGCTTTGACGGTAAACGAGGAATCGAAAAAGGAAGTGCAATGAGAAGGAATTTCAAGAGTCAAGTTCTCCGTTGATCGCAATGCATATGAATTTGCGGAGTGGAGAAAATTGAATCGATCTTTGAGATAGTTTGGGTAACTGGGATTAAATAAAATATTATAAAGAAGGGATAGTATATGAGAATTCCGGCGAAGACGCATAGGAAGCCACTTGAGCTCTGTGCGAAACTGAGAAACATGGTCATATTTGCGCAAGCCAAAGATGAACCTGATACAAAAGTTTTGAAGTCGCTCAAGTTTATTAAGCTGGTCCTCCGAAAGATCAAGGTAACAGGCGTCGGCATAATCTAGGATAGGAAGCAGCAAAGATTGCGCTAACGCAGCTTTAGTGGCAGTGGGTAAAAAGTTACGTAATCTCTTCATTGAAGCAGCTGACGCGTATAACTTACGACTAATCAATTGCAATTGTGGACCCCAATTCAGACAACTGTCCATAAGTACCCCCAGGTTTTTGACAACTTGACTAAAGGGAATATCTATACCATCAAAAACAACTTTCGGAAGTGCCTGGAAGTCAAGCCTGGAGAGTAATCTGGAGCTACCCGTTATCATCACTTGAGTTTTTACAGGGTTGATACTCAAACCAAAAGCTTTACTCCATTTTTCAATACGTTGAAGGTTGAGATTAATATTTACCACTGCTTCAGATATTTTAGAGAATGGTGCATCACAGTAAATCTGAAGATCGTCTGCATATAGGTGGTAGGAACACGAAAGATTTTGAGAAATAGAATTAATAAAGATTGCAAATAGAAAGGGAGACAATACGCCGCCTTGAGGGACACCAGCTTTCGTGTCACACCATGACGAGAACTTCTCATCAAGGCGGACTCGCTGCTTGCGCCCATACAGATAGCTGTGAAACCAATCAATTAACGTTGGAGATATGTTAAGTAAGCGCAGCAAAGCAAGAAGTACGTCGAAATCAACCGTGTTAAAAGCATTTAGACGAGAGTCTAATTGAATCTCTAAATAAAACTTACTCCAATAAGTAATAAAGATTTTATTTCATCGATCTCCATGATGTGACTGGCAATAAAGACGTAAGTTGTAGAATAGAAAATAATACTTATTTAGCATAAAATAAAGCACATATGAAAATGAGACTTTATATAAAAAAAAACACGTCAATTGATTGTCATAAAACTATTAATCATGAATTTAAAAGCTGATTTTAAAGGACTTCAATTTACAGACGCTACTTCTTTTTTTTTCAAAGTCCTTAATGTTTCAAAAACGTGAATTTCTATTTCGTATGTTTAACACATAGCTTCTTCGTGACTGGCTCGCAGACAACGTTCAAATAGAATTCCTAGCTTATATGCACCAGATAGACAACAAGTACCTATTTAAACTTAATCGAGATAATGTGAGGTATATAAAGAAACTATGTAATAAGCGCAAAAAAAATAACTACTTTTTTGTCAGCCGACACATATATTAATTTAAAACATATAAATACATAAAATTACTATTTAATCAACATAGAAAAAAAAATGGCACAGCCTAAATTATTGGGTCGAAGAATTAAAAAAATTAAGATAATCATTGCCTACTATATATAATAAATTGATATTATTTAAGCCCCTCTGCTATTACATAGAAGACACAATATTATAAGAGATAAATATAGAACGACGAAATAACGTATATTTATCATGTTTTAATAACTATTACAATTGCAACTGCATATGAATTAGTAAATAAATACAATTTTACTAAAAAAAACCACAACAGTTATGACAGTTATGTAACTTATTGAGAAAATCTTAAACAAGTCACTTTTAAGTTTTCGTTAGCCACAGTTAAATTTGTATACCCTTGGCAACGTCGCCTAAGCACCATTCCATTTAAGTACTCCCAAAAGGTGTAATTATAAAATTTCCATCGCAACCTCCTTCCTTGTTCAAAGTGAAAGTCAAACTTAAAACAATGAGAGAGAGAGAAGCTGTCGACTTGTTCTCGACAATTAAAAATTAATTACTTTGAAATCATGAATTGCTAGACATTTTAAGGGTATGTTTTTGAATATAGCGTGTAGCGTTAAATCTTCGACGTCCATCCGACGTCTCCGACGAGGAGAAATGTACTTAATTAAGTAAAAAAATAAAAATTATAAGGATCCTCATTATTATTCAATTAAAAAAGGATAAATTAAAATTATATTTTTTTACACTCATATTTTTGTAGAGGTCAATGAAACACTGAGAAATTGTTTTTAATGAACGTAGAATGTGGCACGTCTGTATTTGGATCACTAAATCATTTGTATTTTCATGACGCACCTGTAATTCCAAGTGTACCTAAACAATTCGATTTGTTCATTAATTTGACAGACGGACATATAGACAGCAAGCGAGTGTTCCTATAAAGGTTCTGTTTTTCCCCTTTTCAGGAGCAAAACTCTCTAACATTAATAATTTATATATTTTCAAATTAGTTAGATGCGAATACTCAATACGGTCATTTTATTTAGTTTTGCTTTTATCCTAGTAACATTAATATATCGATTAAAATGTAATTTAAGAATTTAATCAGTACAACCACGTAGAAAATACTTGTTTCTTCACTAAGTTAATGTGGGAACGCCAACGCCGCCGCGCCCGCGGGCATTCAGCTTGCAGCCTTAGGTGACTTGAAAAATATAATGAACGAAATGCCAAAAACAAGTGTCAATGATCACAAAAAAAGACTAGTAATTTAATTTGTGTATATAAAGAAATATATAATTATTCGCCAGCTGCTCTACTCGGAGACCCAACTTAAAAAAGTTTGTATACGTTTTAAAGAGGCTTCACCAAACAACCGTTTCATCTTAAATTGATGTTGTAAACTTTTAATAAGCACGATGTATTTTCTTTACAGTTATTTGAGAAAACTTTTACTAATAGAATTTAAATTATTTTTGACAGAGTTACGTTCGCATACCGCTGTTACCGTTACAGACCAACAGAGCGATTCTATAAAAAATCAAATCCCTAAAATACAAAACAAAATTGATTGAATATACGTGTCTCAAATATTCTATTACTATGTCATTTTGAAACTCACTTTACTTATGCCACGAAACGTTATTACCAATTCAAGGTTCAGCGGATGCCGCTTTTTGAAGTGAATTTGAACACCTAAGTGAATTCGAATTCGGGTTTGGATTTTACAGAATCTCAGGACAGTTACCATTATTATTAATTATGTTTTGAAGCGTTTTCATAGTATTTCTTTAACTAATGGTTCTAAACTTTAGTTTCTTGTTGTGTGATATCTAATTTTGATAGTCAACTTACTTTCAACTGTGTAGACAAAATTTGACACGCATATAACTTTAATACCGATGTAATATTAAAATGAAATGAAGATGATCTTATGACGAAGGTGGAAAGGAACCACGGGTCGTTTTTAATTAAACGAAGCAACTCCATTAAGGTCCATATGATTTGATGAGAAATTTGGTCTGTGATAATATCCAAGATCTTATGATGCAACTAGAATGTGGAACTTTGTAATATCACGGCGGGTCATTACATTTTAATATAACATGACAAAATTTGACTTTTTTTAAAATATATTTAATAAAATCTGTTAATACATTTATTTAGGAAACACAGTAAACTCGTTCTTCTGC